CAAATAGGATGAAACATGCATCAAACTAACTTCCATTGTTATAATAGCCACTATTCTTCATTACTTACTGATAATTATTACATAATTTCATCAAAATTTATAATTCAACTAACATTTCTAATCAACAATTCATAGACATGATCAACCGATCGTTTTTCATTCATTCATCCGAAAAAAAGAGGTTTAAACAGTCTAATAACCCATGTATTTCATTCATTTAATGCCTACGCATTATACTACTTATATTAGTTTATTTTTTTATGGTAAAGACTTAATCATAAGGTCAATGACTGATTATTTTCATGGATAAGAAACAAATAAACAAATAGCCAAACAATGAAGTAGATAAATTTCCATAAAGACAATAATTATTTATTTATTTATGAATGAATGAATGAATGAATGAATGAATGAATGATAACTAGACATTTCACCCTTGAAAAGTCATGATAATGTTTATTTTGGCAAAGAATATAGATCTGTGTATACGGGGGGGGGGTTATATAGATATTGTATAGTTTTTTTTGTTTTGTTTGTTTTTGATTGAGATCATGAATTGATCATTGATAAAGTAGGATGGAAAACCTGAAAGAATTAGATGATCATTTTGTCATTGTAATGGAATTAATTCAGTAGTGAGTTATCACAATCTTGTATGTTGTTTAGGTTCAGGTTTTCAGTGGTCTAACATTGATTCATTCATGATATTGTTGGAATGTATTTCTGAACTAATACTATACATATAGTTTTTGTGCATAATTGTCAAGTAACTAAACTAACCATATTCATGATCCTCTTATCATAAGCTTTATTTTGACCCATAGACTATCATTATACGATTTACCATTGTTGAGTTATTCCCTGTCTATCAATTACTATCTCCCATATTCACAACCACATTTGGCTAATTCTTGTACAAATGTTATTTTCTATTTGGCGGTACAATGTGGTCTGTCTGATTGGTATATACACCCAGTATGTTTGAAATACATGATTCATATTGCAGAGACTGAGACTGACGTTCTGGACTTAATTGGCTGGGCTAGGCAAGGAGCAAGACCAATAAGGACTCTACACTGCCTTTATGGTTTTATGCGTCATTGGTCCAGTCGGCAATTCACTATTCTCTAATTGGCGGCATCATTACGTTATACATTAACAGGGCATACAGGCCACAAGTTATAACAGATATCAATCTAAACTCAATCTTCACAACCCTATACTGATAATAATCATCATGTGCTTACTAGTGACTGGTGTCAAAATGATTTCCTGGAGTTCTGGTAAGAAGCCGTGACTTATGGAGTTCAATCCGTGTCGGGTAGAGACAGGTATTTACCACAAATAATGGATGAATGGTTGTGCAGCAATTCATGGATCGATGGAAGTTATGCATTAACATTCTTAGATGCCGACTTACTGGTGGAGAGATTAAGAGATCACTGCGCGAGACCGAAGGTCTTGGATTCGAATTCCGCGTGTGGAGTCGTTGAACGCGCACTGTTAAGGAGTCCCATTGTAGGATGAAACGGCCATCTAGTGTTTCCAGGTTTTCCATGGTGTTCTAGCATCAACTGACTCATGATCTCAATCAAAAAGAATTTATTACTGCTACTTGCGATCAATCGAATGGTTTTAAAATAGTCCTTGGGATTAAGAAATCCTTAAATTGTAACAACCAATGTATTGTCTATAAACCCAAGTGTTGACTGAATTCCATTTAGTAGATCTAAAATCACAGATAGATTTCTTACTAGAACATGAGAGACAGTCATCAGGATCTGTCTGTGGTTAATCTACCATCATGAAAGGTTTCATTTCATTGCAAAAACTTTCTAACGGTAAAATCCTGACAAAACTGTGTAAAACAGTTTGGGACTGCAATTGATCAGTCTCTTATTGGCAAATGTGCATACTGTGAAGGTTGCTTCGATATTGCCTTGAATTACAATCATTCTGAGCAAAATTGGATGATGGCTAACAGTGGAATCCAGGACGAGCGTTTCATTCCATTTCGGTCTCGTCAACTAGTCACTTGCAGTCCTAAACACAAATAAGCAAATTCAAACAAACAATACGAGATGAATTAAGACTTTATCTCATCGCACAAGCTAATGGCTATCAGGACTCAGTAGATAAATGGATAACGCGATGGCTTTCGAAGTCAACGGTACTGGATTCGAGTGTCAGAGTGAACATCACATCTGAGATGCAGGTAGATCCAGTTGACGATTCCCAAATAGGACGAAACGTACGTCCTGGGTTCCACTGCTAACCACCATACGTCTTTGCTTATATAAAATGGTTGTCAATATATATGTGAACGGTTCAATGAACATACAAACTGAGCTACTAATTCTGTTAAGTATAAACATAATTGAACTTAGCATTAGTTACATTCTCCTTAATCGTCAGTCTGAGAGTGATATTCCATTTTTTCGACTGCCAGTCATTAGAAGTGTCAGTTTGCTTATCAATATGATTGTTATCCTCAGATTCTTATGTTTTAAAATCTCTTCAGGTTTTGCTTTATGCTTTCTTTATCTTACTAATTCTTTCCTATTTCTGTGCCCAATATGTTAGTTTATATTTTAAAAAGAGATTACTTACTTACTTACGCCTGTTACTCCTCGTGGAGGAGCATAGGCCTTCCACCAACACTCGCCATCCAACTCTGCCCACCGTAATCCTTTCCAGCTCTTTCCACTTGTTATTCATCATTTTCACTTCTGCTTCTATTCCTCGATTTAATGTGTTCTTCGACCCTCCTCATTTCCACTTCCCTTCAAGATTCAAAGTTAGAGCTTGTCTCATGATGCAGTTTGGTGATTTCCGTATTGTATGACCTATTCATTTCCATAATCTTTTCCCAATTTCCTCTTCAATTGGAAGTTGGTTTGTTCTCTCTCACAGTAAGCTGTTGCCGATGGTATCCGATCAACGGATACTGAGTATCACGTGTAGACAACTATTCATAAATACTTGTACATTGTTGATGATGGTTGTAGTAATTGTGGAAGTTTCATCTCCGTACAGTAGAACTAACTGACTTGACGTTCATATTGAAGATTGTGACTTTGATGTTGATTGAGTGAGAGAGAGAGAGTTGTTTTGAGTTCCGTATATTGTTCAATTGTAGGAATGGTGTTGTTGCTTTGCCAATCATGGATTTACGTCTGCATCCGATCCTCCTTGTTCATCGATGATGCTTCTCAGGTACGTGAAGGATTCTACATCTTCTAGATTTTCGCCATCAAGTGTTATTGGATTGGTGTTCTCTGTGTTGTATTTGAAGATCTTGCTCTTTTCCCTTATGTAGATTGAGGTCTACTAATGCAGAGGCTAGTGCTACACTAGTTGTCTTCATCTGCATGTATTCGTTTGTATGGAATAGGAGGGCTTTAAAAAGAGATGAAACAGTTAAAAAAATACTATCCCTACCAAGTGAATCAAGTATTTCTATGAGAGTGTAAATACTGTTAGAATGATATACAGTCAAGATATTCATCGATAAGACAACTAAAGAGACAGACTTCAAATAACTTTGGAAGATGTTTCAAACAACGGTTACAGTGATAGTATAGCTATATCGATAAAAAAGGGAAGTTTTTAAAAGAATGGTGGTAGTGTTGATGAGGATAAAAATGATTTACCCTAAACTATGTAAAATAAATATTTTGTGATCCTAACTAGTTTACTTATTCAATAGATAATGTACTTTACATAAATGGGTGAGCTCAATTTTAGTTACTATGCAAAGGAAACAAATTAACAAAAGCACAACAACTGTAATGATTAATATAATGGCTACAATATAAAAATGTAAAAACCAGGACAGTGATAAGTTGTCTTGATTCTGAGAAAAAAAGCCCATGAAATACAATGATTGTCTAGCCCTAATATAAGATTCTCAAAAACTGTGCACCCATGACACTGGCACGAGGGATCGAAATCAGGACCTTCAGTCTGGTATGCAAACGTCTAATCTTTAGACCACTGAAACGGCACCAATTGATTTGGATGGGAGACGATTGCCTGATATCGTTAATGAATTGAAACTAAGTTTGTATACCATTGGTTGTCAGTTTATTGATCTGGAAGTCAGGCTACTGTGCGCAAGACCGAAGGTTTTCAGTTTAATTCTCGATGGCATGTTTGCGGATGCGTACTACTGAGGAGTTCCGTACAAGTTATATACAATTATGTAGTGCATCCTATTTTTCAGTGGTGGTCTGCGAAGTCCTTTACTAATGAAAGTTGATTAGGAAAAATGTAGAGTCAAAACACAAGCCACTATGGGATGGATAATTTCATGATATCATATTTCATATGAATGCTTAACTAGTACTCTGATTAGGGATTATGAGTTCTCTGAAACGCCAATCCATAACTCATCCACCTTCATGTAAACTTTCATTGATATGTTTATAAATAGATAATATGTTTAGTTGTCATCCAAAATTTGTTAACTTTTCACTAAGATACAGAAAGAAATTAATACTGGAAATCATATAAGCTTGACATTCTGGGAGATTTTTAGCTACAGGAGTTCTTCTCTCCTATTTACTTTTATTGAATCATGATCTGATAATTAAATTCATGAGCCAATTGAAGCTAGACCACCAACTAAAACCTGGAAGCGCTGCACAGCCATTTCGTCCTATCGTGGGACTCCTCAGCAGTGCATATCCACGGTCCCTCCTTGCAAGATTCAAACCCAGGACCCATCAGTCTCGTGCGCGCGAACGCTTAACCTCTAGACCACTGAGCCTACCAGCATCCAACGGTGTTAATGTCTAACTTCAATCAATTCACGAAATTGAATGACACATCCGCCATCGTCTTCAGTAAGTTACTATCTCATAACGGATCCTGATGAACTCCACCGGTTACTGCTTGTTACCTGGGTTCGAACCTTGCGGAGCGGGATCGTAGATGCGCACTACTGAAGAGTTTCATACTACGACGAAACATTCTGTTCTTTTATCTATAAATCTGGTATGCTTTATTATTTAACCTTACATGATCACAAGTAAACAATGTTAATTTTACAAAAAAATTTTTATAAACTATTATGATATGATGATCTGTACTGACCCAATTATTTCATCATTATCGTTTGTTTTCTCGTTTGATATAAGTGTGATTCTGATAAAATGTGTATGTATGTACGCACGTATTGTTGATTAGTGTGAGTCGGCATATTTTGTTACTATCCCTTTATACATTATTGCATCGTTTACTATGGTTTGTATAGATGTACTATTTGTGATGAAAAGACCACACGTAAATCAAACAAACAAACATCATGCATCAACATCATAATCATTGTTATTAGTTGTTGAATTAGTTATGATACTACTACTACTACTACTACTACTACTACTACTACTACTACTACTACTACTACTACTACTACTACTACTACTACTACTACTACTACTACTACTACTACTACTACTACTACTACTACTACTACTACTACTACTACTACTACTACTACTACTACTACTACTACTACTACTACTACTACTACTACTACTACTACTACTACTACTACTACTACTACTACTACTACTACTACTACTACTACTACTACTACTACTACTACTACTACTACTACTACTACTACTACTACTACTACTACTACTACTACTACTACTACTACTACTACTACTACTACTACTACTACTACTACTACTACTACTACTACTACTACTACTACTACTACTACTACTACTACTACTACTACTACTACTACTACTACTACTACTACTACTACTACTACTACTACTACTACTACTACTACTACTACTACTACTACTACTACTACTACTACTACTACTACTACTACTACTACTACTACTACTACTACTACTACTACTACTACTACTACTACTACTACTACTACTACTACTACTACTACTACTACTACTACTACTACTACTACTACTACTACTACTACTACTACTACTACTACTACTACTACTACTACTACTACTACTACTACTACTACTACTACTACTACTACTACTACTACTACTACTACTACTACTACTACTACTACTACTACTACTACTACTACTACTACTACTACTACTACTACTACTACTACTACTACTACTACTACTACTACTACTACTACTACTACTACTATTTTACTGAAAAATGTATATTATATATTGTAGAGTATAATTGTACAAATCCATTTCCTTCAGCAATGTAGGCGTGAATAAAATTATGTCCCTCTGTGTGTGTATATATATATATATATATACGTACATGTGTATATCTGTTCGCGCTTATAATTAACCTGATTGTCTGAATCGCTAATTTATTTAATAAGCACAATAAATGAAGGAGAAAAATAAAAAAAATCAACAATAACAAACAACCGGATCATCGAACAAACACAAACAAACAAACAAACATTTCAATAGTCCATAGTTAATTAGTCAACTAACTAATACATTGGTCAGTTTATGTTTATTATTACTATCATCATTATCCTATTAATTCTGTTAGTGTCACTTTATGTTTGCGGTCTCTATGTGTGTGTGTGTGTGTGTGTGAGTGTGTGTGTGTGTGTGTGTGTGTGTGTGAGTGTATACATAATCAACTATAAAAGCAATCCAGATTCATTATAATCATCATCATTATCATCATCATATTATTTCATGTTATTGAAGGGTATCATCATCATCATCCTCATTCATCATCCATAAAAGATCACTCATTTATCCATCTCTCTCTGTCTATATATATATATATATATATATCATCATCATCATCATCATCATTATTAAACAATCAAATTAGATCATTTTGTCATGCATCATCTCTATTCAATATTGTTTATTATTCATTAAATTATTTATTATAATCAGTGGTTTTTCTTTTGTTGTTTATTTGTAAAAGGGGAACTAAATAAACATTCGTGACGGTTACGTAATCACTGGTTACCCATTCACATACATATATATATATATATATATATATATACACAGATATACACCTAGATACATAGATAGATATACTACTACTACTAATAATAATAATACTAATAGTAGTAGTATTAATCATAATACATCAGTGATATACTATTCATCAAAAAGGAAGTGAACTCTTATTTAGAAAGAGATCAATATCATTTAGACATTAAGATATATCTATCTATAAACAATTCCTATATATAGAAATGATTCTATTACATCATATCAATAATACATTATGGTATGGATATTCTATAATGAAAATTTATTTCTTATCAGGATTATTAATTAATTTAATAATCAATTTATTATCCATCAATTATTGTATTGAAAGTACTACAGGTTAGTTAAATAAAAAATAATCATGATTGATTATTATTGATTATGTTATTAATATTGATTGATTGATTGATTGATTATTGATTGATTGATAAATGATCATAGTTATTGAATTGATGGTATGGTTGAAAGTGAAGAGAGTCAGTTGTTTCTCTTGAAGTACACTTAAATGGTCATGTACATACAACTACTGATAGGGAAGTTCTACTTACTGCTTTTTTTTGTGATTGGGGTATTGTTTATGAAATTGAGAGGATGAAAATACGAATGTTCAGCGATTTAACTAGGTTGGTGGATATGGAGGATCTATTTAGGAGAGTTGGGAAACTCTTATCCTAAACTAATGGTGTACATGGGCTCCAGGATCCTAAAGAAATAAATGGCGTATGAATCAATCGTTGGTCACCGGCTACCATGGGAATGCATCTCCTGACATTGTTCCACTGCCTTGTGGATTAGACCTTTAGGTCGAAGGCTCTGACTGTGACCCCCTAGTTAAACCACCAGGTAGTATCCAAGCCCTCACACAAATGGAATGATTTATATGGCGCATATCTGTTTGCTGCTTACTTGTACCAATGTTTGTGTTCATATCATTATTGAAAAATTGAAAGCAATAGATGATCATTTTCAACCTAGTATTAGATTCCTTCTTGGCAGTGCACATCCACAATCCTTCACGTGATACTCGAACCTATGTACTTCGGTCTAAATGACGGTATAGCTTAGATTGTCTTGTGAATTCAGCTGTTAAAATACAACAATCTCCACAAATCCTTATTTCTTATGATTAATTCATTATGTTAGTCAGCATAGATTAATACTGTAATTGATAGACGAATGATATTTCAATAAAGTTGTCACTTTTCATTGAAACATAAAAATATGTTAGGTGATTGTAATCAGCCGTTAGGAAGTCCAGCATTGATCAGAGTTTCATGCTAGTTGGTACCTGTCAAGAAGGTATGCGTGTGTATATATATAGTCTTGAGGCGAAATTATATTTTTATGTACGATTGAAATCTGTCACTTAAAGATATCATCACTCAACTATTCGAACTGTGATAGACTTCCTCCAACTATGACATCAGTTGACTCACTCTTGAATCTCAATGAGAAAGAACATTAATTGCTTCATGATTGGTGATGTACTTTACTGATATGTGTTAAATGGTATGAAACTTATATGAAACAGACCTTTCTGTTACTGTATCCAACTATGTATCGCAAATACATCTGAAATATTTTGATAGTTGAGATTATGAGTCAACTGAAACTAGACAACCATGGAAAATCTGGAAGCAATGGATGGCCGTTTCGTCCTATTGTGAGACTCTTGCTCAACAGTGCGCATCCATGATCCCGTCACAAAACCCCTTTTGATACATCGGAAATACTTTGTTATAACCCAACTTTTGCTTATAATGAATTATCAGTAAACATTCGTAGAGAATGAAACATACAAGAAATTTATCAGTGTTCTCCGATGTTTAATAGTTATCATGAAGTGAACGAGGACACAAATGGGGACAACCAATTGTATTTGAGTATAAACATTACAAAATGTCTTACTACAATCTGAGAACCATACAGTGAATACTTCATTTACAAAATGTCAATCAGTTGTCTCAGACTTGGTTGTTCCATCATTTCCATATCAATCATACTTTGTCCTCGTTCTCTTTTCTTCAATCTCCTTAATCTTCTGCTACCGGGCATTTCAATTTCGATTGATCATACATACTACTTATATCTATTGACATCAGTAGTACACACCACACTAGTAATAATATTGAGTTATAATTTGTAAAAATACTATTAATTTTGTTTACTAGTATTATTTTCTAATTTCGTATAATAAACAAATCATCAAAGAAATTCCCCTTCACAGGTTATATTGACTAATATTATTTTATGGAGGTCACTTTTTTGTTGTCAGACATGTGCTGACATTAGACTGTGTTTTGTTGTTGTTGTTGTCAAACTTAAGAACTTTTTAAACATGAAATACAATAAAGATCATTATTATGCTTATAACCATCAATCATATAATGTATTATAAGCAGTGGAATCCAGGATGCATGTTTCATCCTATCTGGGACTCGTCAGCTGGATGTACCTGCATCTCAGAGTTGATGTTCACTCTAAGACTCGAACCCAATACCGTTCGCTTCAAGTGACATCATGTTAATCACTTCACTATTGAATCTGTTAGTCACTAACTTGTTCATTAGGTTGAAGTTTAAAATCAATTGGTATTGTTTACTTGAATCTTTCCATTGATGTTTAGGACTACAATTGATCAGTCTCTTATTATTGATATATGTGCATCCTGTACGTATTGCCTCGATATTAGCCTTAATTCACAAGCTTTTTGTAAGCAATGATGGATAGTGGCTAACAGTGGAATCCAAGACATACATTTCGTCCTATTGATGATTTGTCTTCTTTTAAGAAGTGTTTTTCTTCTACTCTATTCACTATGAGATTTGTTTGAATGATCAATTGTTATTCAATATTCTAATGTATTACTTTGAATATTTTCATCTATATGTCTATGAGATGTTAATATCTTTGAATCATGCAATAAGAATAAGTGACCATTAACTGTTCCATCAGACATCTACAACTACTCAGCTACTTTCTCATCTAACTGGTAAGCGTTTTTTAGCGAGTTAGTTTTCTACGGGATGGGGACGCTAACCCCATGCCCAACCCTCCTCCTTTACCCGGGCTTGGGACCGGCAGCAACCCTATAAGAGCTACAGGCGGAGTTCTCATCTAACTGGGTAAACAGTTTAATCACTTGTATCAAATACTTACTGACAAACCATACCGTATATATGTAGAGGTTCAGATTCTTTATGAAGTTGTTTTATTCTTGAACATTAAGGAAGTTTTATAGTTCTTCATCTTTGTCTAGATAAAAACAAACAACATATTCAAACTTAATGACTAATTTACTTATTTGTATACTGTAATTTCCAAATACAAAAACTTTAGTATGTTTCCAATGTAATTAATGGTGGAATTCTACTGATGAGTTTCGGCTCATTTAAGCTTCATCAACTATCGAAGCTTATGCAAGCTAGTATTATGTAACTATAGTTCTCAGTATGAGAAATAGGAGAATACAAGTTCTGGCAAGTTCTAATAAGTTATAAGTATTATTTGGATAATAATACTCTTATTCTGTTATAATCATCGACATTATGAATTATTTGAATGATTCAATTTGTCAAATTGTATCAAATCACTTTCTCTTCAGTATATACAACAGAGTAAACTGCTCATATACTGAAATGTTATGACGAACATTCATAGTAGTATTGTCAGTGATTTCAATCAGTATCATTCAAAGTCATCTCTAAGAAGCATGACATTCGATTAAAAATAGTTACTTCTTTTCATTCAAAGAAATCTATGATCAATAAACTGTTATTCTTTTATCAGAATGGGGGGAGGGTATGGATATTTTAGTAATTTAATGATTGAATTCATGAGTTAATTAAAGCTAGACCAGTATGGAAAACCTGGAACTACTAGATAGACGTTTCGTCCTATTGTAGGACTCCTTTTTGACAGTGTACATCTACGATCCCGCCAAGCGAGATTCAAACCCAGGACCTTCGATCTCGTATGCGACCATTGAGCTGGAATCCAACAGTGTTCATATCTAACTTCAACCAATCCATGATATTACTCAACCGTCTATCATTATTTTCAGTAAGTAACTGCTTTACAACATACATAGTTGATTTCCATTGATCACAACTATCCAATACTTTCAGACTTTTCCATAATGATCTACTTTAAATCGATTCATGAATTCAACTATTCAATTATTATTCTTTTAT